TTTTTTAAAATGTTATACCAGATGCCATGTTTCTCATAAAACATGACTGATTTAAAGAAACTGCGCAGTTGACTAAAATGACAGCATGCCCTTTGGAAACAAGAGAAAATCATTCCAATAGCTCAGCAAACAGATGACATTCAGACACAGACCTTAAAGAATGAAGGAGCTCGTGTCATCAGGTCATGGAGCTCGAAGTTCTGCCTTGGAGAGGGGGAAGAGGACCTTCCATGACATCTACACCACAGCATCTGTTGCCTTGTCCAAAAAATAAAAAAAATAAAAAAAATAAAATAAAATAAAAATTGAGTTAATATGACAGGTGACATTAATTCGGACTTTATTAAACCATGATTTTGTTCTGAAAATGTGACTTTTTTAGAGTATGGCATCATCAGCATTATGTAAAATAGATATCAAGTTTACATAATGCTTTCTAGGGTGATCACACCTGCTAATAAACAATGACATTTGTAAATTAAAGAGTATATTTAATGTAGTACTGCATGAATTCTCATCACCTAGCCCTACAGTCTTCTGTCAGGGTTTACAGTGGATGCCAAATGCTGCATGACTGTGGCTCCATACAAAACCCATAGATTTCATTATCCAGCACATGGGAAAATAAACACAGACAGTCAAATGTGGAATTATTAAAGCAGGACTGGGGTCTGACCTCAAAATGAGTCATTACATGAAGAGACAGAATTCACACAATGGCAATAAGTGCTCCAGGATGCCTGGGACAACCTGCAGAGAGCTGTAAGCTTTTTGCTATGTGGCCAGTTGTTTCTATGTGTGTGTGCGTTTTAACTTGAAAGAAGCATACAACACATGTGTATAGAGGAGCAGGGTTGGGTCAGATGGCCCCTGTGCACATTGCGTGTCCTCAGGTTGGATCAGACTGAAGCAGTCAACTCGACACCCCAGCTGATTAGTGCAACTCATCACTCCCACACCGCTTCCACTTTAACATGCAGTGTTTGTTTTGTGCAGCACACAATCGAACTGGGGACCCAGCAACCCAACCACTAGATAATCGGCACAGTCATCTTACTGGGATTTGTGTCCATATTCCACGTCGTCATCCACGCGGTATCATTCGCCATAGCCGCTGACATGGGTCTTGTGTGTGTGTGACAGGAAGTAGTGCAGAACCTTGAGTTTAGCAGGCACAAAAAATGGTCAATCATTTAGATGATAGAGAATGGAAAAGGTTCAAAATGCAAGTTAACTTGGATTCAAGCCCGGGTGGTGGATTATGTTACAAACAGTAACGCTGGTTAACGTAAGGTTAAATAAATCTAATTCTTTTAAGCAGAGTTAGCTTTACCACTAGCTGTTTAGCAACGTTAGCGTCTAGCATTCGGTTAAAACCTAAGTGACTGTCACAAGTGAAACATTTCAAAT